TTTATCTGACCTGAATAATAGGAAGTTAAAGACTTTGGCTTAAACAAATAATTAATTTCTTATCCCGATTAGGTGATAAAACTGAAAAGTAAAAAACTGTAAGCCACTACCGTCTTTAGGATTAAAAATGCATTTTCTCAAATATTGTATAATTATATTATAATTGACAAGGATCCCCATTACTTTCTTGATACTCTGTAAAGCAAAAAGATCTTTGAAAAATAATTATTTTGGGCAATAAAAGATTTATATCAGTAAAATTCCTTTAACTAGGTGTGATTGCTAAAAGATATCAATAGTTACATAATATGGCTAAAAGATTATATAAGAAGGTGAATAATAAGACTTTTCCTATCAAAGAAAATACTCTATAAGTTAGTCCTTTTATTTTCTAGAATCTTCTTGTTCTTAGTAAAGAAAGTATGTACTTGAGTTTATTCAGGTTATCAAAGACTCAAGTTTTTATTTAAAGAAGTTTGTAAACAAGTAAAGAAGGGTAATAGTAACTCTTGTAGACAAACCTCAAGTTGTTTTAAGAAAAGTGGGAAAATTTTATTAGTCAAAAAAAAAACAAAATCTTCTTGTGAATGTTTTTTTTATATATGGTTAGATGATCAGTAAAAAAAGATTTTGATTTTTTTTCTTTTATTATTTTTTTAATAATATATTAATTTAATATTTTTTTTTTGAAATAATTTATAATGATAAATTGTTAATAATAATCTTATCGAATAAAAATTCTAATATTAATCTATTAATAAAATAAAATATTGTTTTTAAATCTGATTTGAAGTACTTAATTAAGATTTTGTTTTATTTAATTTGAATTAGCTTAATGAACTTTTTATATTTTTTAATCAATATAGTTTTTTAACTGATAATATATAAAAATAAGCTATTTATTATATAAAAATCTATATAATATTATAAATATTTATTTGATATATTAATAAAATATATATTATAATAGTATGATTGTAAATTTTTTTAAAAAAATAATAATATTGATAAAGAAATATTTATATAATTTTTAAAATTTCAAAATCAAGATTTTAAAGTTATTGATATAATTTTGAATTAGTGTTATATATCTAAATAGTATTATAATTTTAAAAGAAAAGTCATAAAATTTAATAAAAAGTTTTAAAATAAAGTTATACACAGTTAAATCAAATATTTTTTCAAATATAACCTTTATTGATAAATTTTTTATTGCTTATCTTTTACAATTATTTTTTAAAAAAATTAATATACTGTATATACAGTATACAGTATATAATATATTTTAATAAAATAATTTTTTAAAAACCAATTTTGATAATAATATAATTTTAATTTTCAATTAAGTATAATAGTTAATTGGATAACTTGTTAATTGTAATTGCGTAAGATTAATTTGACTCATATCTGAATAACATGCTTAGCCTTTTTAAGCAAGTCTGTTTATTTCTTTGCTATGCTTACATATAATAAAGACAAATATGATTGTTGGTTAATCAACTAATATGGTTAGAATTTAAGCTTACTTATAATAGATAAATTGGGATATAATTTATTAGAACAGATTATCAAGTATCGAGATGTTTTTTTCGCGGCAATCTTGCTTGACCCATTGCTAACGGAATTTTGCTTCTTTTCCAGATATTGTGCAAGATGTGACAGTCAGTATTCCGTCGCTGATGTGTCACAGTTCATTTTGCCGTCGAAAAAAGCATGCACATGTGTAAAAGACGAAGAGTTAACAGTAATGCACCTGGAGACAATATTATAGTACTGATCTACAATGCAGAAAATCTTTTCGAAGTGAATGAAGATCGGTAAATTATGCAAAAAACAAATTTAATTGAATCGCTTTGCGTAAAAGTATATCAAAAAGTTTTAATGAGAATTCCAAGAGGGCGAACGTACTGCTTGGAAAATATTCCCTGGTGAAGGTCAGAAAGAAAGTTGCTTCGTGAAGTTTAACAAGATGATGAACCATTGAGAAAGCTTGTGCAGATTGAAAAGGTGGGGGGTTTTTTTTTTATTGAAGTGTAAAATCGTATTCTTAAGTGCATCCTTTAGTTTTCCTAAAAAGGGTTATTATCAATTCATTTCTTTCGACAAACGTGATAACAACAAATTATAATTGAGAATGAAACCACCAGCAACATTATTCATTTAAGGTGTCCCGAGTCATCATTGATTGTTTATGGTAATTACAATAACTTAATACCGGTGAATTCTTGAAACTGAATACGCCCTGCCATCTAATTTTACACACGACAGATGGTTAAAAATTCATCCGTCTTGCTAATCCAGGATAATGCTTTATGAGTAATGCTGTGAAGTTTGAGAATATGAAAGAGAACGATTCATGTAATGGTAAAACGGCATCTCCCAATCTGATTCACTTCATTATAGTATCCACTTTGATATGGTGCAACCCATTAAACAAGCAAAGACAATGTATCTGGAGAAAAAAGAACGAATGTAATAACGTAAGGTTCACACGAAATTATTGTTGGCGTTATTTTTGAGGGGATAAATTGAAAAGTTACAATTTCTCATGAAAATTCTAAAATTCGATGCATTGCCAAGTTCTCTCATTGAGAGATTTTCGCGCGCGGCTATGGACAAAAGAGTTTGCGGCGGGAATAATAATTCTGCAAAGTTATGCGCAATGTTATACATAAACAAATATGGATAGATTGCAAGGCGAGATGGTGTGTATAAGAAGACCATCTGGTTTCATCCTTTTGAATTCATTGCCACACACTTAGGCAAAAATTCTCAGGGCATAAATAAATCCACAGTAGATAAACGAATTTCCCAATGCCGTCAAGATTCCATCAACGCATTAGAGGTGATCCACTTCAAAGGAAGGTATTTGAAATTCTTTCCTATGGAAATGACACTCCCCGTACCGCGGCTTCTTGGAGTCCCGTAAGAATTCTCATAATTTCAACATCCTTATTTTTATAATTATTATTGCTAATATTTTAAAATGATTCGTGTTTATAGTTTGTGGAAGAGGATACGGTAGCTCTCAGAGAACTCACCTCGAGCTATTTCAAGATTTCCCGGGAAACCAAGATAACTCCCGTCAAGGCTGTGTTAGAACAGGCCGAAAAAGATGTCCGAGTTAAAGATCCTCAACTAGTTCACAACGCAGTGATGACATTTATCAATACTCATCCTGAAGCCCGGAGACATAAACTTCGAGTTCCTCCATTGATTCGTCGTGCTCCGAATCGTGCTGTTCCTAGACGTCCTGGTGCCACTCAAGGTGTCATCCCTATAGTGCCGATTCCTCAAGAGCCTACCAAAGAGACTTCCCCCGAAGATGCGTTGTCATACTGGAGGGATGATCCCAATTTAAATGAGCATCATGATCATTGGCACAATATTTATGGTAAGGCAAAACTGGAAGACGACAATGGGGTGTACTGGAAGAACCGTCAGGGAGAACTTTTTGTCTACATGCATCGACAAATGGTGGCGAGGTAAAAGGAATATATTTCTAATTCTCTTTAAAATATTATTTTAAGTTTTTATTTGATTTAGATACGAAGCTGAACGTATATCGAATGGATTACCGGAAGTCAAAGAATATCGAGATTACACAGAAGTAATTCCTGAACATTACTATCCTAATGAAGATCTAAGTGTCACATCGAACAATAGGGTTGTTACATTTTCCGCTCGTCAATCCGGGGGTGTAATGAAGAATGGTATGAACATTTCTGAATCGCCTTTGGTCACTGATCATTATAGCACATACGAATAATTGGATATAAAAAAAATTAGGTTTTGACAGGACCGATAGGAATGGAAATGTCATGAAAGGAACCACGGTTGATGAACTAGCTGCTAATCGCGATTTGTTGGAAAAAGTCATCAAGCAAGGTTATTTTGATGATCTCAAAGATACCAAATCCATAAAGACGGCAGACAATCCTGACCTTTTGGGAATTGCAATTGAAATGGGTATTACGTCGGAAACTTACAAAGATTACGACGCGGAATTATGGGGAAGCAAATATCCAGCATTCCACAATTTTGGGCATGTCCTGCTTAGCCAGGTTGGGATTAGTGAGTATGACGAAATTCGAGATGATTTTTTTCTTCTTGCGTTTCTTTTAACAAAAAACCTTTCGACATAAATTAGCCGACTCAAGCCAACCCGCAGGTGTGATAGGTACCCTCGCGACTGCATGCCGAGATCCACTCTTCTACCGTTGGCATACTTATGTCGACAATTTATATACGATGCATCAATGTATACTTGGACCCAATAATTTTGGATCCAACGATGTGCCCGTAAAAATATCATCCGATGGCATATTTCTGGTGTTCAAGGACAAAATTGCAAATGCGACTCCTCAGAATATTGCAACTGTGGCTTCCCAATTTGCGGAGACCATCAAATCGCAAAAACCGACTAATGCAACCAATGTCTTGGAAACTAAGATGAAAGCAAGACCTTTTGAGTGGAAAGAGGGAGGAGAAGAAGATGGCAAAGTTTTGGGAACTACAATTATTGAATATCTGTTCCCAAGGGAATGGTATTATTTCTTCCGCGTAGAGAACCCTACTTCTCAGGTGACTGATTTTTTTTTTTTTTTTTTTTTTTACTAAAACCCTCGAAGCCTTTCATACGAATTGAGATTATGATCTTAATGTACTCAGGACGTAAAAGTGACATTCCGAGTATTCATTGTCCCCGAAGCGTTCAAGAACAAGCACAATCGTTATATAGAGGTTGACAAATTCCAACAAATCCTTCCCGCCAATAAAGTAACAGTTGTCGCACGTGACTGCGACAAATCGTCGGTAGTAGCACAACCGCCAAAGAAAACTGCTGAAGATTTAGATGACAACGCGGACGTGCCAGATGATGAAGAATTCCAGGAATTTTGCGATTGCGGATGGCCATACCATTTAGTGTTGCCTCGAGGTAATAGGGAAGGTTTACCATTCAAATTGGTAGTGTTTATTACCGATGGTTCGGATAAAGCTGAATCGGCAAAGGAATGTTGTGGCTCTTTGTCATTCTGCGGTGCGAAGGACCCGAGAGGAGATTATCCTGATACAAGAGATATGGGTTAGTGTTATATTATAAAATTTGGTTATGATAAGATGGTCACGCATGTACTCATAACTTTCTTGAACCTTTAGGATACCCGTTCAACCGACCTTTTAAGAACGACTCTGTCGAAGAGGTATTTTTGTTGTTGCTTATTTCGTTGTGGCAGTCGTGTATTCTTATAAAATCAACTCTATTTCACCTTCACTTATAGGCATTCCGTGGATTAAAATATGCCGCCATTAAAGACATTAAGATTAAATTGGTTGATGACTTTGTAGAATTCACCAAATAAATCATTGCACACGAGCTTCCGACCTTCTACCTGGGAGACCCCGAGAAATATATCATGCTGTTTATACTGTATATACGTTGTGACCCTCACCATATTTAACAATTTTAATAAAATAAATTTTGTTTAAATTTTACACCGGGAGTCTTAATATTTCCTAGTTTTGAAAATATTATTTTCAATTTGATAAAGTAGATAAAATTGTTCTTAGCATAGTTGTAATATTGATTTTTTTAAAAGTTAAATTTAATTTTTTGATGCAAAAAATTCTTACGTACTGTATATTTATTAGAGGAATTCAGGTTTACAATTTTTTATTGACAATGCACGCACTATCTACAGTAATATATATTAAGTGAACCTCAAAGGTAAATTGAATAATGTTTTCAATAGTTTCTTACTTTGTAACGGTCGCGCGAAACTGATTTGCGATCAAGGGCCATAGCCACCATTGGTGATGCCTTTCTTTTAAGGCCAGCATTATATACAATTTCGACCAGGATTACAAAAATGATCATGATTGCCAACTTGTTATTGTACAGAGTGGTCGCACAAAATTAAGCCAATGATCAAAAATTCTATTAAAAATGCGCTTACGTCATACTGCGCATAATTTTTGACACATACGCATCAATGAGACATAAAAATGACCTTATGAATGATGAATATTATATAGTAGAAATGCTAAAAAAGAAGGCATGTCTGCTGCTAAAATTGCATGAATTATTGAAAGGTCTAACACTACAGTTAAACATTGCCTCAAATGGTTAAAATTAACCAGTAGTTTTGATTATCTAGGGAGATAGAATAATAATAGAAAATTAGTAATAGACTATTATTCCAAACAATTTATTTTGTGAAAGATTAAGTAATATTCAAAACTGAAAAGAATATCAAAACATATATTAGTTATTGAATTTTCATTTAATCCTATTTCTTATTATACTTTAGTTAGAATTTTTTTAAAAAATAATATTTATTTCTATATTGTACATAAAAAACTATTTGTTAGTGAAAAAAATCAAATCAAATAATTAAGGACAAAAATTCATAAAAACTGAACAAAAGAAAATTAAAGAAATGTTCTTTTGATTTATGAGTTCTACATTAGTATAGACTCTTATGAAAAAGTCTGTATTTGATATTACAAAAATAAACTTTATAATTCAAGTTGTACACAAACAATTATCAAAAATAGATAACAATCAATTATAGTATAAAAATATATAAATAGATACAATTTGTACAAAAAAAAAACTCTTTCTACTGATCTTCTGACCACACACAAAAAAGATGTTCACAAGAAGTTTTAATACTTCTATACTAATAAAGTCTTACTACTTTCTTTAAACCAATCCAAAGAGTTCTCTTAGAACTCTCTCACTATTCCTTTCCTCTTGTCTACAATTTCCTTTGAACAAACTGAACTCTTGTAACTTGCAAAGTTTAGCTTTCATCTTTATTACCTATAGCAAGAAAGTTTCTAAAGGAAAAAGGATCAACAGTGAAGTACCTTCCATCTCTTAGTTATAATAGAGATAATAGAGATTAAAACCAGTCAAAGAACTTAATTTTTCACCTTTTAACTAGTATTGTGGTCTCTCAGAGCTATCTCTTTCACAGCTTTCTAGGGAATTTTGCCTATTTCAGCTTGACCCTAAAATTTTGAGTAGCACAGATCTTATCAACTCTGATTGATCAATGTGAAACACGATGGACAAGATTGATAAACAAGCTCCTATTGGCCACCGCACATGTTTGATGCATTTCCTTAGCTCTATAAGAACCTGGAATCTATTATAAGTCATTTTGTTTGGCGCAGATGGATACAGAACATGGCACTGATACATCATTGAATATAAAAAAGAGTCTGTCTGACCATAATAAAGGTCACAAGATGTTCGATTAATCTTTTTTCAAGTTAAAGCTACTTATATTCTGATTGTATGTCAGGTAGGTTCTAACCTCTACTGCCCAGAAAGTCTAAATCAAAGAAAGCATGGAGCCATTAAGGATACTTAGTAGTAAAGCTTATGCATAAAGTAATCCAAGAAGTTTTCATCCTATCTTCAAAAAATCCTGAGCTGGAAAATTGGAAGGTTAATAACATTACACTAATCAAAACTTGAGTTCAAAAATATCAGCAGTGACATGCAAGCCGGTCAGAATGTCTGGAAAATCCTCATTGATTGTTAGTATCAACAGTCACTAGCAAGGTATGTTGACCGCAAGGCTAGGTACTATTCTTTATATAAGTAATTAAATTTGAAATAAGATACACAGATAGGTAAGTATATCCATATTTAGATAAGAATGGGTTTAATTAATGATATACTGGGAGACTTTCAAGTCAATTATGCGGATACCAATATATCATCTGAACCTTCTTGGCTACTTCCTCCCTATAAGCCTTAAAACTATCCAGTCTCCTCTTTGGCTTTCACCTTATTTTCATAAAGACTCAGTAGAAGTTTTTCTCTAGACCTTTCTATGAGAGGAACTTGAACAAAACAGGCATATGTCAAGAAACAAGTCTGATAAATTTTACATAACTGTCCAATTTTTCTTTTATTTCTTTTATTTTTATTTATGACACCAGCACGCTCTAGGGATGCTAGTTTTTTTTGGAAAAAGAAAGGGTAATAAGCCTCGAAGTAGCTTTAGAATAATGTTAACTTATTGTTATCTTTATTTATCTTGAATATACATCCATATATTTATACTTTGCACAATGTAAACTTGTAATTTGGGATTCACTAAAGTTAAGCATAAGCCTATCAAAAAAAAAAAAAAAAAAAAAATACAATTTGTACTTTTTAATTTGAATTTTATCTTATATAAATAATATGGAATATGAAAATCTTATTTTAAATATTACTTATTCAATACAGAAAATGGTATATTACAAGAAAACAATATACCAATTCACAAGTATAAACTTGTAAATGAAATCAAGTCTGAGCTTAAAATCATAATTATAGAATAGCCATTATAATTACTAGACTTTGGTTCAATTGAGAATATACGAAGAAAGATCAAAACATGAATTTATAAGAAATAAAAACTATATAACAATTTTGATTTAGAGAAGACTATTACTATGGCATAAAATAGTATCAAATTTAATAAAATTCTTTACCTTATAGACTCAATTCTTGATTGTATAAAAGAAGTAATAAAAAAAATAAATATATAACATATTAGTAAATTATTATTTTATTTTTTTTTTTTAACTCGCAATCATGTTGCAATGGCGTGTCTTTATTAAGATATTGAGAAATACCAAAATATTACAGAACTTTCACATAGTGACTAACTCGTCATTGTATATTATTAGTTAAAGGACTACACTACTTAAAAAATATGAGGAGTCCACTAAGCTAGTTTGAACTAAACAAAA